TTTGGCCTTACTTTACCTACATGCTAATTTTAATGCATGAGTTGCATGGATGATTTTGTTTAGGCCTTAAGACTTGGTCTAGTCTTGTTTATTGATTATGATATAGGCTCTATCTAGTATGATATGTGGTAGATCATAGGTCGGGTGGAGTACCCAAGGATCGAGTGGTATCCTCAAAACTCGGTTATATAGGGTGGAGTACCCAAGGATCTGGCGGTATCCTCAAAACTCGGTTATATAGGGTGGAGTACCCAAGGATCGGGCGGTATCCTCAAAACTCGGTTATATAGGGTGGAGTGCCCAAGGATCGGGCGGTATCCTCAAAACTCGGTTATATAGGGTGGAGTACCCAAGGATCGGGCGTGTATCCTCAAAACTCGTAGATTACTATTTAGTAATTCAGGACCGGGAGGTGTCCTTATGATTATTTGATTTGGACAGGAGGAGTCCTATACACTCATAGGTCTATGGGTGAGTTGGGGTTTTAAGTCAAGGACATTGACTACTATTAATTTTTCCCAATTAAACAATGACCTACGGGTCGGGTATTTCCAAGTGTATATAAGTACTGATATGTATTTTGTAACTTAGGGTAAGAAAGTATAAGTATATGTATCACCCTATGTTTGGGTCTTATACTTGAAACGTTAGTTACTCTACATTTAGCTTGCTACTCGCTCGGTACTTGTACTGACCCCTTCAGGGGCCCCCACCATTTCAGGTTGAAGCTAGAGCCTGTTGTCTACACCTTTGCACGGGTGGAAAGAATCCAGAGGAAGACGTGGTTCGTGCTTTCTTTATTACTTTAAATCATAAACTATGCTCATGGACACTTTTGTAATATTACATTGTTTTGGCATGCGAGCCTACGTTTTGCCATATGTGGCTTATGATTGACCGTTGAATATTTTCCGCTATTCATTCAATCTATGATGTGATGTTGTTGTGTATGTTTACTACTGAGTATGGTGTGAACGATGTTCATGAGCACCTTGTGTGATTATGTGAGGTTGACTTGCGAGTGACGCCACTTAATCACACGACGGTTGTACACGCACTTAGATGCGGTCTGGGGCGTGACATGATCTCCATAGTCGATGAATATGCATGTATTTGACTTGAGATCAAGCTTCTCTCTCAACTCATTAGACCCATGCGCAAAATGCTTTGCACCCGGACACTTTCAAGTGAGAGTAAAAAACGCCTCTCCCTGACCATTTCTTCAATTCTTTGGAACTCCAAAGTTTAAAGGGACAGAAGGTGACTTGTTTATAAGATAACAAGTTGTCATACTCACCGGCACGTATGTGGTGGCACGTGCGGCGGCGTCTGATGGCCGTTTGGTCGTCGGAAAATATTCGAATTTTCATCTCGATGAGCCAAACCCAAACTCATGTTCTTAGCAGTGTTTGGTAGGACTAGGATGGGACAGAATGGGGAAGAGGAGTGGGATGGTAAAGTAGACATATTCACCTTAACATATGAAGAACCAGCCAAAAGATCAAGCAAAAATAGGGCTGTTGGGACTTTAGAGACAAAACTGATCATCATAAGTGTGACAAGAGCAGTAAAAAAAGACATGCTTTTGAATACATCTCTTCCAGCTATCAAGGAGAAATGGCCAGATTCAGAAAATAGAAATGTCATGATTCAACAAAACAATGCAAGACCCCATATTTAAGTTGATGACCCAAACTTTGTTAAGTGTGGGACAGACAATGGTTGGAACATCCAACTGATATGTCAGCCTCCAAATAGGTCAGACTTGAATGTCCTGGACTTGGCTTTCTTTAGGTCACTTGATTCAATCAAAGATCAAAAGGTCCCATAGTGCATTACATAATTAATTGAAGTTGTCCAAACTTCATTCAGCGAGCTAACAACAAACACATTGATTTTGAGCTATCAGTGTGTCATGCAAATTGCAATGCAAAACAATGGAGGCAATAATTTTGAGTTGCAACATATAGGAAAGAACTCACTAAAAAGGCAAGGGTTGTTACCAAAAAATATCCAAATCAGTGCAGACCTATATGAATCAACTAGGGCATTTCTGATTGGACAAATGGCAACTACAAAAAATGCAGAGCATATTGAAGAGCAATTCATTATTGAACAATCGATAATTTTTCAAAGATGAAGTGTTAGAAATGTGTTCGCAATCACATTTTTTTTTGTTTTTTGGTGTTTGTAAACACAATTAGTGTGTTACAAGTTTTTGTATGTACATGTAAATGCCTTAGAGTACACATTATAAATGTACTGACATGTAGGAGGATAGTGTTTTTGTAAGCCCATGTGCATTTAACCATGATTTATTTTATCCAAATACAATGCACACACAAAAATCCACCAAGTCAAATGCAATGGTAATCGAGCCTCCTACAATTTTGAAAGCTACAATTACAGTTATAAACATATGCTACATATTCATACAATCTACTTGAACTCAAACACCAAATCATCATTAGTTTCAACCAACACTCAAACCCCAACTACTCATGACCCAACTGTAACTCAAACCCAAATACTCATGCTTCAACCGTAAGTCAAGCCCCAGTTCATCAAACACATTAAAAAATTAAGGACTGATATAAAAGCAGAGGGCACTACCCTTAAAAGTGTCATGGCCAACTATGGTCATTGCATGTTGTCGTGTTCCCTCCGCCGCTGACGAGCAGACCTCCTCACCATCCTCCACGCCTTCCAACCCATCAAAAGTGTCAGGCACCAGTTTGTCTCCATATATCTTCCTCCAAGCCCAACCTGGATCGATTTCAGACTCACTGGAGTAACCGAAATGAATACGTAGGGGCATAAGATTGGGAAATGGTGCATGTGACGTCGGAGGTGAGACCGGGTAATAAACCAGATTACAAATCGAATGTGTTTGCTCCTGGACATCTAGGATCGATGTTGCATGCGGTATGGTGAGAAGATCTGAGTTATTAATCGGACAGATAGGAGTACGATTAGGTTTCCTTTCCATGTACATGTCAAGGCTCGGAGATGAGCGGTTGCGATGGAGATATGAGGTAGGTAGGGGTAGCAGCGGAGGAGATGAAGTAGTGTGTAGCCGAGGCGGAGATGATGTAGAGTGAGAAGGAGCCGTGGAGGAGATGAGTTACAGGGTAGGGGAAGAGATAAGGTATAGTGAGAAGGAAAAGAGTGTAGAAGGAATTAATGGCGTAAAAGTGAAAGTCAACCGATGAAAGTGGGCAAGGAAATGAAAGGGCAGCCCATTTAATGGAATAAGTGGTTGGGGGTATTAAAGCCATTACACACTATTTTCTTTTATGAATAGAAGTGGGACTTTAATTTATAAACTCCATTTTGGAAAAGTGTGACTTTGTTTTAATTAGGGACAGAGGAAGTATAAGATTTATAGGTCAACAAATGAGATTAAGCAAGCACTGTATTAACACAAAAAATGACATGTATATTATTAACGGAGTTTTTCCGGACCAAAATATGACTACTTATGTTTTTGGACAATAAAATGACTAGTTACTATGAACGAGTAACTGAACAAGATATAATGTATTTCAGAGTGACAAATTACTGATAGTGAATCACCGAGGACTAGTCAGTAGTCACTAAATATGTCATTTTTGGAAAATTTTAAAATAGGTCATATTTTTGTCTTTTAAGTTTAATTTAGTACTCACTTCGTCTTGCTAAGATTGTCTCGTTTTTTTTTTTTGGAAAATCTCACTAAGATTGTCCCATACCAAATTTGGTAAAGTTTGTGTGACTCTAAATCATTTTTACTTTATTCTTACTTTATCAATTTAATATCAACCACATAACCTGACTTTTCTTAATAACGTATCACTCTCTCATGTTCCAATGTTAGTGGGACGAAACTAGTAATATTTATAGAAAAGAGAGATTTGCAATTTTAGTCCCACAACTTTAGACTGTTTTCATTAATCTCGTAACTTTAGTCACTTACAAGTTTGATATTGTAATTAATAAAACTTTGCGATTTAAGGACATTTCTCCTGATAAGTACATTTTCCGGCAAAAATATACCGGAAAAGATGCCGCCAGCATTGGATTTTCTGCCGGGAAGTGTTCTTTTCCGGGAAAATGTCCTTAAATCGCAAAGATTTATTAGTTACAAGACCAAACATCAAGTAACTAAAATTACCAGAGTAATAATGAAAACGTTTAAAAGTTACGCGACTAAAATTGTAAATAGATTTGCACAAAAAGACCTGTTAACATGAAAGAGATGAAAATCTAATTGATAATAAAGGATTTATCCAAAATGGGACTAAAACATGGTTAAAACTCCAAAATAGGACTTTAAATTTTAAATTGCTTAAATAGGACTCCAGATTACATTTTTACCCCTACTCCCAAAATCACCTTTCCCCAATCCCTCTGCCATCGATCCTACACCTGCGATTCAGCCCTCCCTTTCCGACGCAGCTGCCATGTAGCAGCTTGACTGATTTCGATCGTAACTCAACCGCCGCCGACCACCACCTCTTCTCTCCGGTAAAATCAGGTATTCTTCCTCTTCTCCTCCTTCTGCTTCCTCTTCCCCTTCTTTTCTTCTTCTTCTTCTTCTTTTTCTTCTTCTCCCCCCCCCCCCCCCCCCCCCCCTATTTTCTTCTCCTCGTAGTTCTCCTTGACAATTTTATGGCATTGCATTTGTTATGATGACAGTTTTTTAAATAAAAAATATGACTGAAGAAGAAATGAGCAGAGAACAGAAGAGAAGGAAAAGGAGAAGAGGAAGAAGGGGGAGGAGGAAAGAAGAAGAAGAAGAAGAAGAAGAAGAAGAACTTACATGGAGAAATGTTGACTTGAGCAGTGGAGAGGGAAGCGAAAATGACCTGCGCACATATATGGGAGGCTGCTATGCGTCGCCGGTGTAAATCGTTAGTTAGTCTGACATGTTTTTTAATTGGGGGTAGTTTTGTCAAATAAACTCTTTTTAGTCCTATTTTTGATAAATAAAACCTAGTAGTCCTATTTTTAAAATTTCCCTTTGATGACAATTCTCTCTTGATAATATATTGAAAATTGTAAATATATTTGCAGAACAAACACAAACGACCACATGAGCTCTTCCATCCCCATGAACGCAGAAGGGTAAACCACTCATTTCAAATTGATAAATCTCAGAAAAGAGAACTGTTTCTTGGTGATAACACTACAGCACCATCTACTTTCTTCTGCCGGGAAATGACGACATCGTCTTCTCTATCCCTCTTATCCTCACTCCTTCCATCTCCTCTGCCGGACGCCTCCACTCCACCGGTCAGGATTGCTACGAGCAGGCATCAGCTGCTCTTCGTCCGGTGCGCCCTAACAGCCGGCGCCTCTCACTCCGCAGTGGCCTCGCCGAAGAAAAGGCACTGGAAGCAAGGGGAGTTCCCTGGAACTACTGAACCTTCAGTCCTGAAGAATAAGAGAACTCTCAGAAAGAACATCAAGAAGAAATTGGCTAGAGATAACACAGTCAAGCCATGGGCCAACACTGTCACTGAAGCTCTCTCCGATTGCATCGAGAAAAAGCAGTGGTTCCAAGCAGTTCAGGTCAGTGCCTATGAATTACGTTATGCAATGCGTTGATTTTTATAGAGATTGAATTATTATTATTTTTCATTTGAAATGGGCTTCTGGATGAGTAGAGATGTGGTCAATGTGTTTACTTTTATGGGTATTATCCATAATTGAATGTTGTCATATTCATTCTAGGGATTTTTACCCATAACTCATAAGTAATTAAAATATGATGACTTGCCACATGAATGAACATTTTACTCCGCAGCTTTTAACTAATACTCCGTATAGTATGACATCACACATTGAAACTAGGCAAAGTTGGGAATTAAAAAGAACTGGCGTATAGGTATACATATACCATCAAATTAGGAAGAAAGGGGCTGAATCATATCCTGTGAAAGACATCATATTTTAATCATACATGTGATGACATTCTCTTGATTGTAGGGTTAGATAAACTAAGTGCCTGTTTGATGAAAATAACATTTGGCTGAAATAGCACAAAAAGATGAAATGTCAATTCTTTTTTTTGCAGCAAAAATAAAAGTTTTATTAAGGTATAGAAAAGAGTACAGCAGCTAATGAAGGTAGAAAGTTAAATAAATAACATAAAGTTATTGAAATAACACGCTTAATCCCGTTTTTAGGTTGAAGCCGAGCGCTTCGTCTAAACTTAGGCTGAGTAGCCGTTTTATAATTAGGATCACTTAGTCGAGCAAGCTGCTCTTGATCTAAGTCATATCCCAAAGACCCTTCATCTGAAAGCGCATTAAAATCCAATACCTCCTGAAGATTTTTAACCTAAAACTGCTTGAGTCTGGTAGAGCTTGATATCCCGCTCCTTGATCGAGTGAAACCCAACTTCATTCTGGAAGGCTGGAACGTTATCCTTGTAAGCTTGCAAATCTGCTTGCAGTAAAGCCTCTGAAATAGAATTTTTATTCTCAAGTACAAAATGGGCAGTTCAAAAATAGCAGTATGGGTTGAATTTGAGGTGAGCCGTGAGGTTGGCTAAAAGCCTAAAATGGCTGAACTGTCTAAGAAGATACTAAGCTAGTCTGAATTATCTTACTCGTATAAGTTAAGTCAAAAAACTTAACTTGCTAAAAAATATAATGAAGTTGTCATTTCTCTTTATGTCAACCATTTTGATAAAAAAAATAGAAGCACGTTGGGGCGTTGGGCTAATTCTGAATCATGAGTTAGAAATCTGGGTATTTTGCTAGAAAGGCCAATAAGCCAAAACAAAAAGAAAAGTGGTACCAAACGGAGACTGAAAAAGATTATGCAATTGATTATCATATTTTCAAAATGATCTTTTCAAAGCATATGAAAAATGGATAATATTGCATTTCTTCTCTAGAGTATTCCCCTTGTATGGGTATGACTAATAAGTTATGTATTTATGATATAAGGTTTTTGAGATGCTGAGGGAACAAAAGTTTTATCAGCCAAAAGAAGGATCATACATGAGGCTTCTTGTTCTTCTTGGTAAATGTGGGCAGCCAAGTCAAGCTCAGAGACTATTCAACACAATGATCGAAGAAGGTTTGGAGCCCAGTACGGAACTCTACACAGCATTACTTGCTGCATACTCTAGAAGCAATCTGATTGAAAAGGCACTCGCGGTTCTTCAAGAAATGACCAAAGTGCCCCTTTGTGAGCCTGATGTTCACACATACAGTATATTGATCAAGGCTTGTGTTGATGGATCCCGGTTTGATCTACTTGAATCCCTTTATCAAGAAATGGACGAACGATCTGTATCTCCTAACACAGTCACTCAAAACATAGTCTTGAGTGGGTATGGTAAGGCAGGGAAATACGAAGAGATGGAGAAGGTGCTGCTTAGCATGCTCGAAAGCGATTCATGCACACCTGACGTATGGACCATGAATACCATCCTGAGTTTGTTTGGAAACAAAGGCCAAATTGAAACAATGGAGAAGTGGTATGAAAAGTTTCGTGATTTTGGAATCGGTCCAGAGACACGAACATTCAACATCCTAATCGGATGTTATGGCAAAAAAAAGATGTATGATAAGATGTCAATGGTGATGGAATACATGCGAAGACTCTCATTTCCATGGACAACATCGACATACAACAACGTTATAGAGGCTTTCTCAGACGTTGGTGACACAAAGCACATGGAGTATACCTTTGACCAAATGCGTAGCGAGGGCATGAAAACCGACACAAAGACCTTCTGTTGTCTCATTAGAGGGTATGCTAACGCAGGCCTTTTTCATAAGGTGATTAGTGTCGTTCAGTTGGCTGGGAAATTGGAAATCCCAGAAAACACGTCATTCTTTAATGCACTTATATACGCTTGTGCAAAGGCAGATGATATAATGGAGATGGAGAGAGTTTTCCAGAGGATGAAAGAAAAGCAATGGCAACCAGATTCCTTGACGTATTCTGTCATGATCGATACATACAGAAAAGAGGGCATGACTGATAAGGCCTATGAATTGGAGCAAGAAATAAAGATGGTAGCTGATGATTCTTGTTATTTTGCTGATGATAATAATAATGAAGCGGAAAGTGTTGTTAGTTTGCAACGGTAATGCCATTTCCTTTTGTTGTTACCCAAGTCTTGTATAGAAGCGTCCATGTTTCTGGTTCATTATTTAACCGGTAAATTATTTTAAAGTATTGAGATATCATTATGTTAGGAAAGTTAGCAGTCTCCAATGTTTGTACAAGAATTTAGCTTTTCTCAAGAGCTTTCTTGTATTATCCATCTATTTGTTTTGGCGTGGATTTGTTTTTGAATTTATAACTATTTCCACATTTCAAAATTCAGTTATTTTACATCTCACGCGGTTTAGTTCTTAGCTACAAGTTTGACTCAACTTGGTCTTTTACTATGACGAAATTCAACCTTCATATATTATATATATTCAGAAAGGTTATTTTTATGCCTTCACTAATTCTACACCCCATCACAGGACTTAAATTTCTCCTAAACTGGAGGACAGTCACACCATGTTATGAAGGAATTATATGAGAACCCATGAGGTGTCCATAGAAGCTAGACCTTGATTGCGAATTCGCAATGGGAAAAGGGGGCGAGGTTTCCATCTCGCTGCAGCAGCCTCCAAAGCATCAAAGCATGACATCAAGCTTTTCATTCGATATTGGACGGTCAAGATTTCTTTCATTTACTGTGATCTACATCTTGTAAGTTCAATGTCACACTTCGAACACACAATCAATCAAGTGCTGTTGTATTTAGCATAAATTGTTTGTATGTACAAGACCCTCTGCTATATATGCTTTGTCATAAGACAAAGGATCACAATATCACTTTTAACAGGAAAGCTATACCAATACAATATGATACACAGAAGGTGGGACAAATTTTATTTGGACCCAAGTAGTACTCAACCATAGCAATACTCCTATTTGGATAAGATGATTGGAGATATAAATTAAACAAAAGAATAATGCTCCTTTTTCTTCCTTACATGTTACATCCTACATGGAACCTTGTCATACGTCAATCAAACAGGGAGAATAAAAGAGAGTAAAGTTGTTGCAGAGAGATCCTCCAAGAATGCTGGTTCTCTTGGGCAAATGAGGCAATCACCTTAGTCTGTAGTCACACAACAAGAGGGGCAAAAAAGAAAAAACAATACGTGCTAATTTCAAAACATTAAAGAATAAACTAGAACTAATTACATAAATATGACCAAAATAAAGATGATTTACAAAAATATGACTAATGACTAGAGTAGTAATGAAATCATAGTAATTCATATTCAAGTTTTGAGCTTAAGTTACCACAACATTACATTATAGTAATGAATAGTCATATTTATGTAAATATGTTTTATTTTAGTAATATTCTTGTAAAAAAACCGACGGGACACTTCGGACTATTTTTGAGTATTCTCATACTTTTACATTTAGAGCCCGTTTGATAACACTAAAATCGGTTGAATCGGTTGGTTTTGCTGAAATTTATGAAGTTCTGGCTGAAGTGGCTGTATTGGTTGATTCTGCTGATTTATGAAAAAATTATATTTAAAATATATTTTATTAGTAAAATAAATAAAAAAATATATGAAAAATAGATAATATGGTCATTTACGGTAACTTCAACCAATACAACCAGAAAATCAACTTCAACCTTACTTTCTTTTTATTATTACACAATTCAGCATGCGAGATCAAAAATTTCGTGTTTGATTAAAAAATTGATTGATAAGTCTGATAAGCCGAAAAACATAATTAACAAACGAGTTCGGAACCGAAATAATGCTCCGTATGCTAGTGGAATTAAAAATGTAACTAATTACCTAATTGTCCATCCTCTGGAGTCGGGTCCCTTATTGTGCATTTTGACTTAAAAACCAAAAGGCTTGATTAGACACCTTTGCCAGTTATACGATGCTTATTTAGGAAGTCTCAAATTCCATTAATTATCAGATTGTATTATCTTCCCCAAATTACATTATTAAATGTTTGTGCATAATTGATGTTAACATTAGGCTGATGTTGTTTCAGTTGATGCATTAGTTCTATTCAATTTTGAGGGGATTTTAGCACGAGTACAAACAGTTTAAATAGGGGAGCGTGACATGTACAAATGATATAAACTAGCACCATTCTCATTTAATCTGATAAATACTCCAAACTTTACATAAAAAATTATTTTTGCACCATTGTCATGCAATATTTTTTTAAAAAATGTAAACTTATGAGGTTAATTGCATAATTTAAAATAGCAAATTAAAAGTGTTGCAATTACTCCCTCCGTCCCAAAATTATTGTCCCGCTTTCCTTTTCGGTCCGTCCCGAAATAATTGTCCCGTTTCTAAAACTTCATTATTTGGTAAACAAATCTATACCAAACAGTGTCAAACAGTGCAAAACAGTGTCTACAGTGCCAAACAGTGTCGCTACAGTGCCATTTTCTTAATCTATGTGAAAAACCAAACGGAACAATAATTTTGGGACGGAGGGAGTATATAGATTGAGGGTAACATTATTTATTTTGCAATGGAAGTTTATAGTGTTAATCATGTCTTCATAAATTCTAAAATATTTTAAATTATGCAATTAACACCATAAATTTACATTTTTGAAAGAAATAATACCTGACTATGGTGCCAAAATAACTTTTTATATAAACTTTGGGGTATTTATAATACATAGGGTTGGACTCGGGTCCGGGCCGGGTCCGGGTCGGGCCTAGGCCCGGGCGGGCCGGCGGGTCAGAAATGGTGGACCCGGGACCGGCCCGGGTCCGGGCCGGGCCGAACCCATTATAATTTTTTTTTTTGTTTTCCTCTTCCTAAGTAACCCCCTCCCACCCCCAACCCCCAAACCACCCCCAATGGCCCAAAATACCCAGCCCAACCCAAAACTTTAAAAAAAATTGCAAAAAAAAAAAAATTGTTTTTGGCCGGAACCGGGCCCGGGCCCGGCCGGGTCGGGCCTTGTTTTGGGTGACCCGATCTCGGACCGGAAAACCCACGGGCCGGGCCTACCCGGACCGGTCACTGACCGGGCCGGAACAGTACCGGTCCCGGGCCGGTTCCGGGTCGGGCCACCCGGCCCGAGTCCATACCTAATAATACATATGCAAATTTGGGGTGTTCATCTCACACCCCTTCAAAGTTTGGAGTATTTTAATTATTTTTCCCTATAAACTAACACCTAGATGCGCGCATATATATTCATTTAATTTAAGTATTAATTTTGTAAATACATTTGATGGAGTATATGGCCCAGGGACCCCCGGCCCACATACTCCCACTACTACAGTTAGGCCCAACAGGCCCAAACGGGCCAAGCCCAGCTAACGAGACCCCAAGTGGCCCATAATGCAAGACGTATGCCTTCGGCCCCATGCTCGAAGGTTGTGCACTCATAAAATCAAGTCCAGGAACATCACAGGAGAACAAAGCTCGAAAACCAAGCCTTCGGCACATACAGCCTTCGGCACATAATGCCCCCCTGTATGTGAAGCCTTCGGCCCCAGTGCATACAACCGAAGGCGCTCTTCTCAACAAGATCTGCTCTCCCACATGCGCTGAATCACTGCGTCAAGTACAACGTCACACCCAACCACCGCATTTAATGTAGTGCACATGCCAGTGCCGGTGCCACCCTGATTGAGGTGACCCTCAGCCGTCAGATGCTTGACACGTGTCCCTGCCTATCATTTATTACTACTATAAATAGCAGCCATTTCCATTGTATTACAACACACAACTTTCCATACTCGAATATATATTCTCTCTTACTTATTGCTCTGACTTCTCTCTAAGTTATTCCCTGTAATAACCCCTCGGATAAGCTACCCTCGGGTACACTATCCATCATTTGGTGCTCTCGTTGAGAGGTCAAACAATCAAGTAAGAAACCCCCCCCCCCTCAAACACCCATCGAAATTGGAAGAACCACTCGTGCCCAGTCCAAGACCCTTGAAGACAACAACCTGGCCCTCGGCGAGGTCGACGCCCCCGAAGCCTCCAACAGGGCTCCTGAGGACGGAGTCATCACCGGGTTGGAACAGGCCGCTGTCGACCTACGTCTCCAGCTTCAGACGAATGCCCCCGATGCCCGCCTAGGCATCAAAACCCGGAGGAAGGACCGGAGCGAAAACCAAGTTACCCCTGGTCTTGACTATCGACGTAAAGTCGGCTTTTTCAGCCTTCATCCACACGCTTACTCATAATCCAGGTGCCCTCGGTGCACTTGTACCACCTCAGGCTCGGGGGGGATGTCATTCCTCTTCCACCACTTCCGCCCCCCTTCGCGTGCCACGTTCCAAGAACTGGAAACAACGAGGGGGTCGTTGCTCAAGATACCGCGTCCGAGGAAGTTCAGTCCCGGGACCAGCGCGGTGCGGACAAGGATAGGCCATGGACCTCCGCCCTCGACAGGATCGGAGGAGCGTGTGATCCACGAGGGGTCCAAGACCGCCTCGGAGGTAAAGTATTCCAAAGGCCCCAAGAAAGCAGAGGATCTGTCTCGAGGGCTTATGAGAGGCGTCTCCCTCGGGACAAAGGCAAGGGACTGCTACATGCTGATGATGCCAGGCATCAAATCAACCAGGCTCACTCAGCCCGTGTACAATCTCTGGGGGCGGAGCCAATGCCGAAGGACCCCAGGGATGATATCATAACGGCCCTTCAGCGTCGGCTCAATGAGATGGAGGCCCGCCAAGTGCACACAACCGCTTTCGCCTCCCATACGGATCCTAAATATGAGGCTATGCTAGCCAAAATGGACGAGATGTAGAAAAGGATTGCTGAAGGCTCCGGGGAACCCGTCATCCAGCTACGGATAAGGATTCCATTTACCCCAATGGTATTGGCGGCCCAGATTACGAGAAAATACCGAGGGCAATCCATCAAGCCCTACGAAGGGAAGACTATCCCCAAGACCACTACAGCAGGTACCAGAACAACATGATGATGATGAGGGCCTCAGATGAGTATTTGTGCCGTTGGTTCCTTTCCACCTTGGAAGGACCAGCGTACGAATGGTTCAAGCGACTGCCTGAAGGCAGTATTGACTCATGGCAAGAACTCGCCCAACGTTTCTTGACACAATTTGCGGGAAGGCACCGATCAAAGAAGCATTTCTCCCACCTACTAACGGTGTGAGGCAACAGAAGGAGGAGACCCTCCGGGATTTCCTTGAACGCTGGAGGCTGGAAACGGACAAAGTCGACGGCGCCGAGGACAGGACTTTTATGGCTCTCCTCCAGACGGTCCTCCGCACCGGTAATTTTTCAAGGAGCCTTATTATCGAGCCTCCCCATGATTATATAAAGGCACTCCAACGGAGAGATCGGTACGCGGAGGCCGAGGAGGTGGAGAGGTGCCACTGAAACCTCGAGCAACAACGCCCCAGGACGGATGAAAGGAACCACCAGGGGTCGGGAGCTCCATTCCATTAGCCAAGAGGTCTGGCACCCCCGGTGATCGCCCTCGGCATGGCCAAGCCATGTCCGGGGGAGGATACAAGAACAACCTGAAGGCCTGGGCGCAGCCCGTCCTTCTGGAGCACCCTCGGATGCCTCTGACGCAACCCATCAGCGTCATTCTGGACTACACCGAGGAGAGGGGTCTTGTGGAGCGAGACTCTCGCACACCCCAGAGGTATATGCTATCAACCCTAATGAACCATACTGCTGCTTTCACCGCCATCAAGGGCACATGACCGATGATTGCCATCAGCTGAAGGCGACCATCGAGAGGCTGATACAGGCGGGACATCTGTCCCAGTTCGTCAAGGGTTCCCCCTAGCATGGGCCACCTACGAAAGCAAGCACCTGGGTCAACCCGAACACCATCCCCCTCGGTGACCCGAAGGGTAAGAAGAGGGAGATCGGGAACCTCGATGAAGAAGAAGGGTACAACCAGTGCCAAGAAAAGAAGCG